ATGCACTTTATGGAGCTCCCTTTTTCTTTTCATTCTCTCTTCTTTCTTTTTTTTTTTTTTCTCTCTCTCCCCCCCCCTCCATCCCCTCCTCGCCTATACTGCTCCCTCTTTTCCTCCCTCTTTGTCCTAGAAGCCGAGCCAGAAGTCATAGCTCTTTACTGACAGAGAGGTCTTGCCAGTTATTTTTCACAGCGTGTCCCCTGTGCCCCGGCTGGGATAGCTTTCCTCATGGCGCTAACGTTTTGCTCCCTTCGGTCGTGCTACATGAGAGCCCCCGCCGCTTTTTTTCCACTCGTGCATTGTTCTACAGCTGGACTCAGTCAGTGTGTGTGTGTGTGTGTGTGTGTGTGCGATCAAGTTGTTGGAGATACCTGATCCCTTTTATTGTTCATTTGACCCACATCCCAGGAGGCATGAGGGTCAGGGCGGAGTACCCAGATACCTTGTACAGGTGTACGGGGCGAGGGAGCGTGCAGACGAATCTAGGAAAGGATAAATATTTTTGCACGTGGATCTCCATCCCACACACACTTTTTTTTTTTTTTTAAGCAGGAGCGCTGTTTCTTTAAATCCTCTCTTGGCGCTGTCAGGCATTTCAGCTGGTCATATTGGCTGCAGACACACACACACACACACACAGATGTATATGGTTAGCAGGCTGAAGCTGGTTCGAGTTAGCATGGAGCCAGCCACACTGTGTGAGAGCCTTACCCCCTGCCTGCTACTGCCACCCTCCGCAGTCTCTCTCCACTTCTTTCTCTTTTACTGCATATGTGTGACAGTCGGCCGGGGTCCCTGCACCGTCCGAGCCTCCCCTCATCCCCCACGCTCAGACTCACGCAGTTGATCCTCGTGGCCCCCGTGTCTCCTGATTAGCCCCCCGTTCGTGACAAACAAGCCATCAGGGCAGAGAGGAGGGGAGGGAAGGAAGGGGGAAAAAAAAAGGAGGAAGAGCAGGAGGGACGGAAGGGAGAGAGGAGGAGGAGGAGGAGAGGTGTGTGTGGGGGAGTGCAGGGGGTGAGGTGAGGAGGCTGGGACCCCTGGGGACCCCTAGATCACAGCCATGCTAATGAGGAGCTGCTTTGCCAGCAGCAGAGGTGTCAGCTAACCCCTGACAGGTGCACACACTTGCGTATACTCCCAGGGCTTGTGCAGGAGCGTGCACGTGGGATTGGAAAGGGTGTGTGTGTTTGTGTGTGAGAGAGTGAGCGTGCACGGAGGGCAGAGGAGAGGAGGGGCTGCAGGGGCAGGTTTGTGTCCCAGTGGCCTAGCCTGCGGGCGGCTTTGTTCTGTATGCAAATCTGTCACGGTGGCGTTCTGTCGCCCTTGATGGAATGTTGGAGCAGCACAGCGAACCTGAACCCCAGGAATGCTGCAGTGCACACACACACACACACACAAACACACACGAGCTTGACACCCAAATGTAGCACATCTTCTTGCCCTCCTTGTTAACAACCAAAAAACCTGCCCTGGCTTTTTTTTCTCCTTCTTCTTCTGCTCCCACACTAAAACAACTACACACTCCATTCTGCAGGATGCAACACGATTCACGCAGCAGTCCAACGCTCGCTGGGCTAGCATTCAATTGCTACTTATTTTCAATTATGATTTATTTTTCCTTGAGCTTTGTGAGAGTTAATTTGGCATCAGTGAGCATTCATTATCATCCACTCACTGTTCACTGTCAGCCGAGAAGCTCCCGTTTGCCCATCTTGTTGAAGACTGAGCCTGTGGAATTTTGTTATTCTTCTGTGGTCTTATTATAAGTCCCCCTGGATTAGCGCATCTGATAAAGGCCCCCAAAATGTAAGTGTAATGTAAATGGAGGGAGCTCATGCTTTGAAATATAAATCAGACTCAGGCTGGAGGCTGGAGAGATGGCATATGCGAATTCCTAAATTAAACACAAATCCACATGTCTGCACCGTACGCCTGGTGTCTACGTCAGCCCAACCAACCTCACACCAACTTTTCTACACTAGCCATATGCAAACAGTCAATACCATGGCTCCCCTTCATTCACTGGCATTTTGTTTGTACTTTTTAAGGCAAAATAATGGCTATAAAAGGCAATCTGGAAAGAATAAAATCTGATGTAAAGCTCAGATCTTAGTCCCTGAAGACTGGGTTAATTGGCCTGGTGGTTTAGTAAAAAAACCAACCCAGGAGAGAAGGAGAGCATTATTACTGGCCCACCTCAGCTCCACGCATGTGCCAATGTTTTAATAACTTCCTCCAGGCCTCCTGGCCCTTAGCCCTCGTTTTGTTGCACAGGACAAAGAGCTGCCCTCCTAAGCTGGTCTCAGTTCTGTATTGTGTTGCTTTTGTTTCATGGGAAAATCTGCCAGAGTGAACACCTGGGCCAAAAAAACAACCCGACTCATAGTCTTTTTCAGGTGAATCCCATTACGCTATAACATTTACAAATTGTGGTATTGCGATAAAAATAAAGCGGCGAAACACGCAGCGTGCCGTATTGCTGAATCCTGCTGTGACTCCATTTAGTTTAACCTCTCATCTCGGCCTCTTTCGCACACGCTCGGAGTACGTGTGTCTCTGTGTGCATATGGTGTGCCGGAGTAAATTGGGCGATTAGGTCCAGCATCAGTGGCTGCGAGGAGAGGAGAATGTAACTATTCTAACTGGTAGTTGACCTTGGCGGTCAGCGGTGGAGGGGTCCCTGCCTGCATGTCAGGCAGACGACTGTAATTACCGCAAACTGAAGCATGATACGGCCCACCGTGATTCTTTAATGAAGGCTTTTATTGGCCGGAGC